TTTATTAAGCTTACATGATTTAAAAATTAAATCTTATATAGTTAAGCATGTTAAGTTTATATTGGAGCAAAAAAAAATTTTTGACAGGAGGGTCTCGGAGATATATTTTGCTAGTCCATGACCCATATAGGAGGTTGGATTTGACTGCTAGTATCCTTTAAAATCAAGTCATCCAAATTTTCAGAATTGCAAGATGTAGTGCTAACAACCTCAATAGGGCTGGTTTCCTGGTCAGAAGTTTCTTTAACGGCCTCAGTAGTCCTGGACGAACTTTGCTCCTCTCCGCTAAATAATCCAAGTTGGTTCATGAGTGTTGCATCATCATCCACAGGAGTCTGATTTCCTGAATCCACAGGCTTGGAGATAGTATTTTCATCAGCAGTTGTAGACTTGTCTTGCAATTCTGCCGGAGAAATAGAAGTTTCGATCTCTCTGCCTTTGCAATCCCAATTTGGGCATATAGCTTTTCCACGGCGTTTCTTTATATCTCTTTCGAGAAACATTTGGTGGTAAATACATCCACAGGTGGCCATGGTAAATTCTTTGATTGGCCCATATGGTTCTGATCCAATGATCTCTCCTTTACATAAAATACATGGGTTCATCTTCGGGATATTAATACCAGAAGCAAGAATAGTTTTATTATTTGTGTTGAGCATATTCATTGCAAGAGTTAAGACTTGTTTTTTATCCATACTGCCTATCTTTCGGTTGCACATGTTTGAATTGGTCCATTTATAGCGCTGGTAAATTCTGCAGGAGTAAGATATTTCCGGATCTTCACTAGCAATTGCACTGCATTTCGTCATTTGCTAATCCCTTGCAAATCGCCTCCCTTGTACCTTTGGTACTGCGAGAGATAAGCCAACTGTTTCGTGAAATATGTTTGGGGATTAATGATATAGAAATAATGGGAAAGCTTTTCTCCTGAAGATCTTTGATCGAAGGGGGATCTCATATGCGAAATGATGATTCCCACCAAAAATATCTATATTCGAATATTGTTTTGTTAGTATGATAATAGCGTGGCCGGAGACATGACGCAAAAATAAATGGCAAATCAGGTCTTAGAAAAAAATATAAAACGGAGATGCGAATATACAGTAGATGCCAATCTAACGTCGCACAGTCGGCAAGAATTTTCACGATATCGTACTGCGCATTTCAGGTGACTTAATATTCAAAATCTTAGGATATACTGTAACACAAATTACGAGAAAAAAATCCACAGCACAAAAAATGAAAATCTTTATTATTTAAACTTGCAGATTAAACAAAATACAATAAATTTGTCTTGAATATTTCATAATTACTAATCATTTGTTTACGCGAATAACATTAATAGCAGACATAATATACATAAATCGAAATTGAGAAATCATCACACTTAATTAAACACAACATAGAAACCAGATCAATGCTGTTTCTTTTTAGAGTGCTTTTTTTTCGAATTCTTTTTCTTCTTTGCAACAGTGGCGGGTATGTCAAAGGTTAGTTTATCCAGTGAATCTAGGAGAGAAGAAACTAATTATATAAATTATGACAAAAAAAGAATGAATAAAATCTTGACATACCATCTTCAGCGACTTCAAATTCAACAACAGTCCCATCGGACTCATAATCCCACATTACGCGGTGAGTCTGAGATACCTTTGGTGCTTCATTCAAATAATCTCCAAGTGGCCACAAAACACCGCACGTTGAGTTGTCCCATTCGAATACACGACCGTAACAATCCAGAAAAAGAAGTCCAGCATAACGTTCCCCGATGATAATAATATGATCAAAACCATACAGCTTAATAAATTCCATATAACGTATACAAGTAGAAGGATCTCCTCCTTCGAGATCACAGTTAAGATAATTTGCGACACGTTTACGATCTTTTTTATTTGCAATCATTTCGACTATCATAAGCGGATTCTTTGGAGTAGCTTTTGGATTGTTGCAATCTTCTCGAGATTCATCTTGCTTTTCACTTGTCGGCACATGGAACATGGGTTTCGGAACTCTTGCTTGTCCAGATTGAAAGTTTGGGACCACAAGACGACACGGTGTTTTCGGCTCTTCTTTCGTCCATGCATTGCCAGCCAAGGTACCGATTCGGCGCAGTTGCCCCAATGGTAGTTGCGACGATCGATTTGGGCAAATTTCGAACACCATTCTAATATCGGAAAGGCTCTCACCCTCGATTCTGCTATTTTGCGATTGTTCTCGTACACCATCGTTTTTGTTATCGATTTTGTTTTTATTCCGCTCCGAATCGATGCCCCGTACATAAATTTGATCTTCCCGTTTTTCGTTGACACCGTTACATTTACTGCTGTTGGGCGACCCAACGCATTCGTTTCCATCATCGTAATTTTTTTTGTCAAGATAATTAACATTCTGGAAAGATATTTTTTCTGGTCTTGAAACTCCATTCCCTTGATAGAATCCATTCTCATTATGTAGATCGTCCAAAGTAGGGCTACTGCATCCCATACTGTTACTATTGGAATTGGCCGACATAAGGGTGTTTCTACTAGTTTCCCCTCGACGCCAAACGGAATATAAATTTGATGATTCCTACATAAAAAATTTTTCGTTGGCTATTCCTATAATTTCGAAATAGTGTAAAGAATAAAATACCTGAAGGGTTCTATGAATTCTCTTATCAACTTTCTCGCCCATTTTCCTTTAAGATTATCTGGCCAGGACCAAGCTTCGTTGTCTTCGTATGGACTAGGAATAGAAAAATATAAATGAGTACAAAAAAGTGTCGAGATGAAAATTACTTGTTTTAACCTACATTCGGATACTTTTGGAAAGATTGTTACCCATTAGAGTGACTAACACCTGATATATTAGGCTAGTTCAAAGTTGGTCGATCGGCACTTTGATCACAAAAATAAATATCCAATTAAATTTGCGATCAAAAATTCATAATTGAGATTGTTGATCGCGTGATTGATCGTTGAATAGCTTTTTTTTTGAACCGTGAGTTCACATTTTTTGAGTTGTTAGTTAAACCATTTAATTTCACTTTTTTTGTTAAAAAATATGTCAGAACATAGAAAG